AGGGGTGATTCTCCCCCTTTACTCTGCTCTTACAAGACCCCGCCTTGAATACTGCGTCCATTTTCGGTGCCCCCACCATAAGAGGGACGTGGATCTGTTGGAGCGTGTTCAGAGGAGGCCACAAGGATGATCCAGGGCCTGGAGCACCTCTGCTACTATGAGGACAGGCTGTGGGAGCTGAGACTGTTTAGTCTGGAAAAGAGAAGACTTTGGGGGGACCTAATAGCTGCCTTCCAGTACCTGAAGGGAACCTACAGGAAGGCTGGGGAGGGACTTTTTACAAGAGTGTCCACTGATAGGACAAGGGGAAATGGGTTTAAGTTGAAGGAGAATAGATTTAGATTGGACCTTAGGAAGAAATTCTTCAGTACAAGGGCGGCAAGACTTTGGAATAAATTGCCCAGAGATGTTGTGGCTGCCCCCTCCCTGGAGGGGTTCAAGGCCAAGTTGGACGGAGCCTTGAGTAGCCTGATCTAGTTGAGAGGTGTCCCTGCCCATAACAGGGAGGTTGGATTAGATGATCTCTAAGGTCCCTTCCAGCCTAGGCCATTCTATGGGTCTGTGATTTTAGTTGTCAAAATATTTTCTACGTTAACAGGCATTTCTGGTAGCTAGTTAGTTGCTTACGTAACTGAAGCACAAGGACTGCTCTTAGGAGGGATAGAAATCTTAAAGTACTAGGGTAGACTAAGTAATAGTTGCTGCTGATTAGTGGTAATTATTCCCCGTCTTCAGAAGACCAGGAATCTCTGTCACTTGTTATTGCCAGATGCTATGGGTATAGTTTAGTCTGCAGTACATACATGAATGTTCATTGTGAGTTTTTCTTCTTGCCCAGTTTCAGGTGTAGAGTTTAGCATAAATCAGTTTGTGCGGAACCTCGGCCTTGAACATCTAATTGACATATTTGAGAGAGAACAGGTAAGTAGCCATATTTATTTCCAGATATTCAGCTAGAAAGCAATGGAATAAATACTGACTTTTTAGAATAATGTAGTGAGACACTTAAAATGAGTGAATGTTAAAAGGAATGTAATGAAGGAAAGGAGCATAACTGGATTTTTTTTTACTTGCATATAATACAACCATGTATTAAAATATATGCGTATGTAAAAAACGGAGGACAGTAATGTCATATCAATTTGAGAGTGTAAGCATGTTTTCTTTCAGTGGTGTAAATGGTGGAGTAAATAAGTAGTCAGGGATGATTAATAATTTTGGATTTGTTTCTCTGGACATGAATATATCTAGAAAATTGTATTTCTCAATCAGAAACATGGTCCTTTTAAGCAATGCAAGTTTGCCCAATTGTAGGTTGTAGCATATTTATTTAAAGACAAAAGTTTGGAGAAAGCGGTTGAGTAAAGTATGAGAATAATACGCTGAAGTCTCCAGTGTTCATGTTCCTTTCACACTTTTTATCTCAACTATTGTGATGTATATTTTCACTATCATTGACAGTTGTACAGAAAAATGGTGTTGCTTTCATTATAGATAACACTGGATGTATTGGTTGAAATGGGACACAAAGAACTGAAGGAAATTGGAATTAATGCTTATGGTCATAGGCATAAAATCATTAAAGGAGTTGAAAGACTAATTTCCGGACAGCAAGGTATGTACTTGTTTCAAGTGATTATGTAACACTGCCTTTATAGAATCCATTTTTATACGTGCTTAAGATTATTCCAAATTGTATCTCATTAAAAAGAAATTATAATAAAACTTGTCCTAGAAAATGGCCCTTGAAATGATGAGAATGTCTTCTGACTTGAAACATAAGCACTTTTATTTATGCTGTGAATTACTGTGAATCTTGCCTTTCAGTGCTCTAATTTTTTGATTTTGTGATCAGTGTTTCATGTTTCCTTAGGTAAAGTGTAGATCTAGTTCAAAATGACTGTAAGTTGTTTTCCTGGGTTTTTTTTTTTTGTTAGATATAGGGCATATTTACCTTCATTGGAGCAGTCTGGAGAGCAGAGCACATTCTCTAATGATGTGTTAGGCCCTCCCCATTAGATACTGTTCCATTGGGTCACCTGCTAATTGTCTGGGAAGGCCATGGGCAAAAAGACACTTGATACACACAGGTTTGGGATTTTGATGTTTAGTAATTACATTCCCATTACTTGCCAGTTGTGATTGAAGTCTGTATATAAATTGACAATGCATTGTGCGTAAAAGTGGTTACTTTTTTTGGCATATTTAAAGTGATAGAGAAGTTTCCTTTAAGCATTCAATATCAGGCTCAGGCCTTTTAGGCTCACAGACTTGGTTCTTTTGTCAGCTCTTTCTGCATGATTCATGGGAAGGATGTTCATAGTAAATTAGTACTTAAAGTCAATTCTCATGTTCACAATTCTGTTGCCATCAGTAGCCATGAACTATGTACAGGGGGCAGGTTGCTCACTGTTTCCCTGCCTAGAGTTGAAATGAACTCTTAAGGAAGCATACGTAGAGTTTCCTTGTCATATACATTAACATGCTGAGCAGACAAACGGGTTAGTGTGTCTGGAGTGTTTTTTCTTGCTGAGAGAATGATTGATCAGTATCCATAGATAGGTGAAAAGGACTGTGGTTGATCTGCATCCAGACCCTGCCGCTGCGCTTCTCATGGCACTTACGGTATATGTGCAGTAGTGTAGGAGTAGAGGTTATAAATAAAGGCACTGAAAAGGTCTGTCTTAAAGTAATTGCTGATCTATGACTTCCTTAGCAGCTGACCTCTTCATCTTGTAAACTGAGTTTTAAGGAAATGGTCCCTTTAAGAAGAAAAATCTCTTAATCGGCAGTCTTAAAGCAGTTTCTGAAACTGTTGTTGTGTTTTTGTTATATTTGCAGGACTTAACCCATACCTGACTTTAAATACGTCTGGTAGTGGAACTATTCTCATAGATCTTTCCACTGAAGATAAGGAATTTCAGTCAGTAGAAGAAGAGGTATGCTTTTCTTCATAGTCTCTTGGTATTTTTGTTATTTCTACTAAGAAGTAGATAAAGAAGTATCGCTAGACAATTTAACAGTGCAATAGCATCTCCAAGCCTAAGAAAAACTTGAATAAAGATACTTGACATTTTCAACTGTGACTGCACCACTTTTAATTTGTACTCATGATGTCTGTAATTTTTCTCATTTGTTATGACTGATAGTAGTACTTTTTAAGACCTATACTATATAGAAAAGCTCTTTGATATAACATAAATTCTGTGCTACTAATTGCCTGTCTGTTATACACAGGTTTTTAAGTCACTTCCTTCCAAAGTGTCATAATCACACAGGACAAAGCACTGAAGAAAGACCATTCTAAATAAATTCGTGACAGCCTTTATCAATTAGAAAACCAGACTATGGACTAATCAAGATACTTCTTTATAAAAAATTAAAAACCATTAAGCCTGCTCATGTGCATCTGCAAAATGTGTCAGTTCTTGACCTGTAATCTGTGCCTAAAAATATCTTGGATCATTATTTATTTTTTAAGACAGAATTAGTTCTTTTGATTTCTTGACTGTGTCAAGGATGTGTGTTTTGAATGTGACCTGAAACAAAGTGATCCTCCTTAAAATTCTCAATCTTCAGATGCAGAGTACTGTTCGAGAGCATAGAGATGGAGGACATGCTGGCGGAGTCTTCAATAGATACAACATCTTAAAGGTAGCTGTTGCATTTTCATGATCGACGGTAACACCTTTAGGGTTTTGACTGAAAATAAAATGTCCATAAAATGTTGTTTGTTGAGTTCCATAATGTGATTAAGATTTGACATTCTGAGACGTGCACAGGAAAAAGATCGTCTCACAGGGAAGTTCAAAGAATGATTATGCAGAAAAGAAATTGTTATGGGTGAATAGTCATTAAGAAATTTTATGAGAAATTGACATAGAAGGACCTCAGAAAACTGCGGAGTGTTTGAAGAAAAAGACAGAAGGCTTTATAGGAAACAAAGGGAGGCTTCTGTTGAGAGTATGGCAGGAGAAAAATCAGCAAGAAGTGAAAACAAAACTCTTGAAACTTGGAAGTAAGGATACATATTTTTGGCGTGATTTAATGCCAAAGAAACTTAAAGCATAAGGCAGTAGGCAGCCTTGCTTCAAATAACTTAGTGGAATTTTGGTTTGCCTTCATTTTTTTTTCACCCTGAAGAAATGGTGGTTTTCATTAAATTTACAGAGATTTTGACTTGCAAGTAAGTACTGTTAAGTTTTGTTCTGAACTGATGTTCCAGTTTCTCCGGTAGAATTGATGCACTGTGTCTACACACATAAGACTTTGCCAATGTCCAGCATACCTCTGCAGAGAGTATGCAATTTGCTTTCTTTTAAAAGTGCTCTAGAAGTCTTCATAGAAGACACTTCTTAGTTTACTAGACGATCAAGTTATGCGTGGAGTGATACTCAGGTAGAATGTGACTAAACCTGCTAAATTTAAATTAAGCATTGCTCAACAGATATTTCAAATTAATCGATTCTTAATTAAGCCTGTAATACAGTTTATTTAAGATACTCTCCAATAATCAGCTTCTTCAGGATAAGTTAGAGAATTTGTGTTTCATAGAGTTCTAAGCAAAGTATTGTTTAACTGGCAGTGTAAGTACTTTAGTATAGCTGCTGTAGCTTAAACGTCTCAAGTAAAGCGAACGAGTTTTGAGCTTCAGGGTGGATTTTGACTGTTTCAGATTCAGAAAGTGTGCAACAAAAAACTGTGGGAAAGATACACTCACAGGAGGAAAGAGGTCTCTGAAGAGAATCATAACCACGCTAATGAACGGATGCTGTTTCACGGTGAGATATTGAAATGTACCTTTGAACTTGTTTCACCATCAACACTCCTTAATGGAGAGTTTATACTGGCTGAAGCAAAGAATTTTCTTACTGTGAGTAGGTTCTGTGTTTTGCATGAGTTTTATATGAAGAAGTATTTGTATATTTCACGATGGGGACATACAACATGCTGCATCTTTCTTCTAAAATTTCCATCTCCTTTTTGAAGGAGACTTTAAAGAAGAATAATACATTATTGCTGGAAGCAGCAATAATGGAACAAGTAACTACTTGCCTGAACTTGTAGATACCGACTGCTATCTGTACCCCATAAGAGGGAAGAGCCTCTTAATGGAATGACCTGTCTTTAGAGGCAAGTCTTTTAAATTAGTTAAATAGTAATAAAATTATCCCTGGAACAAAGCAATTAATGTCTTATGAGTGTTCTTTTTTTAATTTTAAGTCTTTAGTTTATATAACTTTTTTTGAGCGTTAACATATGTCTTTAACCACATAAGCCATTTGAAGAAGATGACAAGCAATTGTCAGAGATTTTTGCTCATTCTCATCAGAAATGTTCTTCTGCTTCATATGTGGTTTTATTATCTTTAGGTTGGAGGATAAGTCTTTGGATTATTTTTGCTATAATTCCCAACGTAACTCTAAAACGCCATGTTCTCCTACAACAGCTTTTCTCTAGAGGTGCTTTCATTTATATATACTGTTACAAACATCCTTAATGAAAAAACCTGCACGTGTGGAAATTAATGGGTATCAGGTGTCTTGAGATGCGGAATCCAACCATCTTGCACAGATTATTCTTTAAGGATAAATTTTATGACCATTGCAAGTAAATGAAAACTGGTTTATAGGTGTTGCTTTTCAAATGCAATCTACTTAGTGTTAGGAAGGAGGCAGGATTTGCATAGCAGTGCATTCAATGAATCTTTGTTAGAATGATGCTCTGCCAAAGGGAGTGCAGATTCACAGGGCCTTCTCTTGCAGCAAGAGTTGTCTCGGATATTATCCTTTGCAAATCTTTGTTAAAAATATACTCTTATCAGCTATTGTCACTTGTATAGTATCTCTAGCAAATTGGCTGTGTAAATTGAGATCAGAATTTCTGGAGATTGATTTCCTTGTATGTATTAAAAATCTGTACAAAAAGAAATTGAGAATGAATGATTGAATTGTCACACATACAAAAATCTATATAATGTGTTTTCAATATTTTACGTCTTTTCTCTTAGGCTCACCATTTGTGAATGCAATCATTCACAAAGGCTTTGATGAGAGACATGCCTATATAGGCGGTATGTTTGGAGCTGGGATTTATTTTGCTGAAAATTCTTCCAAAAGCAATCAGTATGTGTATGGAATTGGAGGTGGCACTGGATGCCCAATTCACAAAGACAGATCGTGTTATGTTTGCCACAGGTAAGTCATTCAGAAGAATCTCATTTTGCCTTATTGTTATAGCCGAGCAAGTCAGCAGAGTCTCTTGTTGAATAAAGATTTGCTTGGTACTTCACCGCACTCTCTATATGCTGAGCTTAATATAGGCTTTCAGAAAACTTTGATATTTAACCATTTTCAGTGGATTTAACCAAACCTTTGTGCTTAATTTATTGTAAAAATCGGACTTAGGTAGCTAGAGAGTGCAAGGGATCTGCTAGATGCTTGGGTGAAAGATGCATCAATGTGAGGGTTTAATCTCTGGCCTGTTACAGCGAAAGAAGTTCAGTGATACTCAGATGCTGTTTTGCTTCGAGAGGGTTTCTTTGACTGTGACTTTGTGACGCACAGCCTCGGCATCACTGCTGCTTCACAGCCAAACTGTAGATGTGGATACATTGACATTACCTGAGTTTTTAAATCCACTTCTCTGCAGAACAACCTCTTATGTCTTACATAACAGGTTCAGAATAGTTACTTCATGGGGTTTGTTGTGGCAGTGGCTGTCATTTCAACCAGGAGAATAGTTTGTTTGAGTGCATACTGTTTTGCATTGGTATCACACGGATAAGGTCATTTTGCAGTTGCCTTCCCGGAGTCTCTGCTCCTCTTTGTATTGCTTACGATTTTCTGGCACTTTTAAATAAAGAGAATAGTTTTCTTGAGTTGTAGAGGATGTCAGATGCTTTTATGTTTTCTAAAGTTTTGAATAAGAAGGGGTTTGGTTAATTTGTCTTGTCTGAAGAGTTAGACAAGCTGAAGTTTCGGCTGAGCAAAGCTGCGTACCTAGCATTGGTCTGAAAAATGCCGAGATTCCGTTGCAGTAATACCTCTGTAAAGAAATGAGTACCTCTGTTCTGTCTTTTTGTAAAGAAAACAACAAAACAATACTGATAAATGCTACTGTGAGGTATTTTGTGTTGATCCAGAGTTTGCACTTGGCCTTGATGTTGGTTTGGCTGTTTGATACAAATCTAGTGTTAGAACACAAGTGAATTATGTTGTTGTTATGAGTAGTTGGAGGGAGGTACCCTCAGAGAACTTGAAAAAAAAACAAACAAACAAGGAAATACTCATTTTTTTAAAAAAAACACGAAAAGGTAGTGACAATCTTTGAGTACATTGTTAAGCATGCTGTTTCCAGTAATTAAAATAAACCTTTGTCTATGTTATTACATCAGGCTGTTATCTGTTTCTTCAAGCTAAAGAGCTTTTCTGAAGGGAGTGTCACTTGTGTCCTTCAAAGCAGAACTTCATAATTTTGTGAAGAGAGATTGACTAAAATGGGTTTAAAGTTCCTGTGTCCTCCTCCAGTAAAAGTTTCAAATTAGGATAGTCTTTCTGAAGCTTCACAAACATTTTATATTCATGATCTTTTGTCTCTTTTAACACAGGCAATTGCTGTTTTGTCGCGTAACGCTGGGCAAGTCTTTTCTGCAGTTCAGTGCTATGAAAATGGCTCATTCTCCCCCAGGACATCACTCAGTTACCGGGCGACCCAGTGTAAATGGATTGGCATTGGCAGAATATGTCATTTACAGAGGGGAGCAGGTAAATATCTTTTTGATTTGGGTTTTCGTGCTTCTTGTTTTTATAAAGGCATATAGTGTACTGGAGAGCGTTTCTTGCTTTCGAGGTGCTAGAACTTGCTTTTGTCGTAGAACAAACTGCAGCTGTGGTTGCAGGTGAAAGGATCCCAGTTTCCAGAATGCTCCTGGCATTTCACCTTTGATTTTTTGCGTTTTTGTTTCTTTGGCATAAGTGTGTTTTTGTCCCTCTCTAGCAGACATTCTGAACTTATCCAGAAAATGAAATAATAATAATGAATGTGTGTGTTGCTTCTTTTTCAGGCTTATCCAGAATACTTGATTACTTACCAGATTATGAAACCTGAAGCCGCTGCTGAAACTTAAGACAAGTTACTTGTGGAAAACCATCAGGCTTTTGATGCGAAGATATCTGTGGCTGCCATCGTGTTAATTACGAATTGAAAAACATTCATCCACAGGTGGTGTGGTAGCAAATGTGAACAAAATATACCTTTTTTGACTTGATAAAGCTTTAATAATGTACAGTATGTTTTTTCTAAAATTTCAGAAATATCCTCTTTTTCAGCACTTTAACAGATACCATTCCAGGCATAAAGTGGGGTCTGGCTATACTAAATTATAAACAAAAGTTAACTTGAAACAATGGTTTTGATACAATATTGCATTGAAATTTAGCAGAAGTTGTAATGGTCTATACAGGAATTCATTTTACTAATATTGTGTTCTTTAAAACACTGCATTTACACTGAAAACGTTTTCATTTGTAAAACTGTAAATAAGAGCTTTTGTACTAGCCTGGTATTTATTTACATTGTTTTGTAATATAAGTGTTTAGAACTACAACCTTGTACAAAATGTTTTTTCCAGATATTGGTTTGTTCGCCTGTGTTTTCTCATACGCGACTGATTTGAGAAAGATAATTTTTTTTTCAGGTTTTATCACTTATTTGTGAGGGAGAAAGCAAATCTTATCTGAAGAGGTTTGGAAATATCCAACTTTAGATCAAATATGCAAATTGTTCTGGTTTTATTTATGAAATATACATTCCTGAGAATGATGGGCTATGAAAATAGAATGTTCCAGCTGAATACTAAAGTCTTTTTCCACCCACTTCCTAGAGTTGCACATTTTATTTCCGTAAAAAGTCTTCTGAAGTTTTTTCGTTTTTTTTATTTAACTATAGCTATAGTTAACCTGTATTCTCACTTCAAGGCTAGTAGACCTTGCAAGTTACAATTTTAGTAAATTATTTTCTTTGAATAGAGTTGGAAAATTAACCTCAAGGAGGTCTTTCTTGAGTTCCTCTTGCTTACATTTAAGCCAGGAAAGTTAAATAGTTTATTCCTAATGTGAGGGGAAACAACTTGGCCTTTTTTGTGTGCTTCTTTTGGTAAATTAATCTACCTGTTGGTGCCCTCAGGAGAGAAGTATTATGAGGTGGAAATATTTAAAATCGTCCTGTAATGTCCTCTGTTTCTTCCATGTTAATGTCCAAGCTGTAGTCAAAGCAGGTGCTTAGAAGTGTGCTTACCTGCAGCGCTTCTCGCTGAGTGGAACTGGTCAGGGTGCAGGCTTGTGCTGACCGTGCTCAGCTGGCTGGGCAAGGAGCGTGTAAGCGGGATGAGCAGCTATTCCCCAGCAGCACCTGCCTTCAGTAGCCCTGGTAAGATGGTTTGGGCAGAGGAAGAGCGCAAAAGGTGAAGCCCCCCTGTTCAAGTCTTGCCTGGGGAGTTAATGAATGCACCCATCAGTTCGGTCAGCCCTCTCGTAGCTCTCTTGTGTAGTCTCTGTCTCTTTCATCTGCAGTTTTTACCTACATATTTCAAAAAATATGTAAATACAAATTTATAGTTCATCTGGGGTTAAAGTGGTTGGGGGAGTATTTTAGTTGTTTTATATTTCTACATAGAGGACACTGTCCCAGAAGGCAGTTTGTTTGTGGGGCATGTTATCATACCATGGTTTTAAATGTATTAACTGGTCAAGATAATGAAATTGTCTTGCTGATGTGATGGTTATGTGATTATGCTCTATGTAAAAATGTATTGAACCTTACCCAGTTATGTGGGGAATCTGAGTAACAAGATTGCATAATTCTTGCAGAAAGTAATATTGACTATGAGTAAAAAAAGGCTTTGATTTTTAGGTACTTTCTCCCAGCATGTTGCCTGTTCCTTAGGTATAGTAATGCTGGAATTGGTGTTCATGCAAAATCTGTTAAGTATGTTTAAAACTTTTTTTTTTCATTGCTGAAATGCTTCATTCTTGGTGAATGATCACTTGATGTCTTGTAAAATATTGTGGTATGATTGCATTTTAAGTGGTACCACAATGTTGGTTTTGTCTGTTTGGGGATTTTTTGAGCTGTTGTTTTTTGCATGACATATCTTGCACTCTGAAGATGGAAGCTGTAATGGTTTGATAATACTGACTATTGAGGTGAACCTTTAATCTCTTGTGCAATTAGTTCTGCTTTACTCATCTTGAAGTGTCTTTACATGTACTGTATAACATTCCATATCCATTTAACACTAAATAAATTTAATTCACTGGTTTTCTGGTAGCATGGGAGTACTTACAGGTGTAGTACGTCAACTCATCGTTTTAAAAGTAAGCTTGCACAATACTATAACAAACTACATCAGTAGGGGGAAATTAATTGCGTTAAATAGAAGAAATTTTAATGTGGATGAAAAACTGTAAATACTGTGGAAACTTGAGGTTTGGTGTATAGCTAACAGCTTTAGCCAGTGGTGAAAATGTTTTAATAATAAATCCCAATGCTCATTGGTTTTGTAAAGTGAAATGTAACCTGAAAATACGTACCTTTCAAATAACCTCATAGGTAGCAGTATGATATGTACATGAGCTCCCTTGTAGTATCTCAATAAGTTTAGTAATTTTATTTCAATAGGACTACTTATGTGATAGGATGTTGCCAGAACCAGACTTGTATGAAAGATTTAAATAGAAATGAGCACTAGAGGGCAGGAAAGCAAATGTTTAGTAAGATCAAGGGTGTTGGAAAAAATCTGCAGTGTTTTGGGAGTACAACTTTTAATACAATTGCTTCTGAAAATTCTACCAAGCTAGGTTGTAAAAGATTAAATTTTAACTTTCCGTTCTGCATTAGATTTTTTAAAAACGAAGTAATTAGTATAGAAACAACTGCTGCAACTAAGCAAATTGAAAATTGTAGGGGTTTTTCTTAAAAACTTCAATTGTAATGTGGACCTTAGTTTCTGGAAATCAAAAAATAATTTAGCCAGGCTCTTACATAGTGATTTCAAACTGACAGTAGATTTAGGTTAGATATTAAGAAGAAATTCTTTGCTGTGAGAGTGGTGAATCATTGGAACAGGTTGCCCAGAGCGGCTGTGGGTGCTTCATCCCTGGAAGTGTTGAAGGCCAGGCTCGATGGGGCTTGGAGCAGCCTCTCCAGTGGGAGGTGTTCCTGCCACGGGCGGGAACTAGATCGTCTTTAAGCTCCCTTCCAGCCCCCACCACTCTATGATTCTGTGATATAACTGAAAAACTTCCGATTATCTACACAGTGCGTATTCAAGAAGTACATTGGCACTAATTTTGAATGGAAGTGACTGTGCATGAAAGTAGTTGCCCCTGTCTTTTCTCCTTTGAACTTGCTCATTGAACACCACGCTGTGTGTGTAACATTTATGTGTGTATACATGAGTACACACATACAGACGCTTGCTCACTCTCACTTTATTCACCAAAAAGTAGAGAAAAAGTAAAACAAATTATTTTTCCAGCAGACCACTGTTGTAGGTGAGGGTATTGCAGGTTAGAAGTTATTTCCCCTTCTGCCCATCTCCTGAACTTCATGCAATAAACACTTTTTTTTTTTCCTTTTGTTGGATTCAACACCATAGTCCCATGGGTGACTTGCCTTCTGCCTTCCAGGAACAAAGTATAAAGGCCTGATTTGTACTCATCTAGTGCAACAATGCAGCAAAGACTGCTTTCTCACCTTCACTGAACTGGAAAATCAGACTGAGGTCTGCCCCTCTGTGGTTCTTGGAGCTGTGCTTTTCCTGCGCCCACAGAGGTGGCACTAGGAGGTGGAGATTGTGTCAGCAAGGGAAGTGCTATAGTGGAGGGTGCGGAGGGAGGCGTGTGCCTCTTTTTGCCCCTCTCCAGCAAGTGTAAGTGGTGGTACTTCTGAGACTATCAAGGGCTTTCTTTCCTCTGCCTGTGGCTCACTAGATCAGAAAAAGCTGCAGGCAGCCAGAACAGAATGCAAGATAAAAAGAAAAAGCATGTAGATCACACGTTTGAAGTTAGTATGTTCTGCCCTAAAAAGGGGCAAGGTTGGTAACATGAGAGAAGACAGGCAGGAGGGGGGAGAGAAAATCAAAACTAGTAACAACCTGTAAAGGAAGAAAGGCAAGTTGTATGAGGACTTAAATGTTATGGTAGAAAAAACTAATAGAATTATTAGGAATGGCCAAGGTAATTGTGGTGTGTTGACTTCCCAACTTAGAGTTAAAACGGCAAACAAACACTGATGTGTCCTTTACAGGGAGAAGAGCACACGTGTTTATGAGAAAGCTGTAGTTCAAAACATTAACGTTAGACCTGGGAAATAATGTGTGCCAGAAAAAGAAACAATTTAAAAACTGAAAGCAAATGTCCTATACAGTAGTCCTTAAAAACAATAGGTTTGAAGCATTGATTATCAGAGACAAGCTGAAAAACCACGGTAGAAAGCGTTATCAGTAAATTCAAGTATGTTGCATTAAGTTGGCTGCCTGGATTCTGTCCCGTGGCAGGGTGTACATGGGGCAGTAGGGGTGTGGATTTTAATGCAAACAAAATTCAAAGAAGGAAGTGGAGGTCAGATCCATCTCCCCATCTGTAATCTTGATAAAGCTGATGAACTTACTTAACTGCAGCTCAAGTTTATGTTCCAGCTGGGATCTTAATGGGTGGCAGCGGAGGAGATGGTGGTGGTTTCCTATATGGTACAGCTGCAGCATACATGGTGCTACTGCACAGCACGTGTGCAGTCACACAGCCAGGGGAGCACATGCTTGTGGTTTTTAAGTTAGGAGTGTTAAGAGCGTTCAAAAGATGATAGCAGTGGTTTTTGCAGACCTTAGTATTTAAATTAGATGTAAATAGTTTAAGGAGCAAAAGAAAATGCACTAGTACCTGAAAACATGTGCTTGAGGTGTTTTATAGTTGGGAAAGTAGCCTTGTGTCACTTGGTAATGCTGTTTACAGATCTAGGTTGGTTCATGTGAGAAAGGATTAACATGGAATGGTAAAGCTAACGGAAATAGTCTGAGAAATGGACTTGAGAGTAGTCACTTTTTTGTAGTGATGTATGAGTTACTGGCTAGTGGTGTATGGGTTTATGTTGTCTAGCTGCTCTTAAAAAGTTAATGTTTTTCAGCAATATATTTAGAAGCTCATTTCACAACAAGAAATTTACTGTTTTGTGAGGCAGTGGAGATCATAGATCAATAGACAGATAGAGAAGTAGAACATCTTACTAGCCTGATAAAGCAGGTAAATAAGTAGGTAATTAAATAGGAGATGTGTAAGTAGAATTGAAATTATGTGAACAAAGGAAACAATGGATTTTGTTGTAAAATTGAGTAACGGTAAATCAATTAGTGTATATAATATTTATGACTCAACTGAGGAGGATATTGTATCTTAACAGTTTTAATTATTGAAGTGGTCAAAGTGGAAGCTGACAGCAGTTACATTAAGTATTGTTTTAATTAGTGATAAAATGAACTACCAAAGTGTCATCTTTAAATAAGTAACTGTATATGATGACCTTTATCTAACAGATAGTGGTTCCCTAT